AACCCAGGTCCTATGCAAGAGCAGCCACTAAGCCATCTCTCCAACTCCAGTCATATAAAATATAAATATTTTATATTTATATGTATTTATGTATTTTATTGGGTATAATAGGCTTTAAAAACACCCATGACTAGTCAGACACAGAGAATATACATCTGAGAAATGCCCAATCCACAGTTGAACCTCTACACCTAAGGAGGAGAGGACATAGTGGAACAAGGGGTAGAGAGAAAGCTAGTGCATCCCTCATCTCTCACATATAAAATATAAATATTTTATATTTATATGTATTTATGTATTTTATTGGGTATAATAGGCTTTAAAAACACCCATGACTAGTCAGACACAGAGAATATACATCTGAGAAATGCCCAATCCACAGTTGAACCTCTACACCTAAGGAGGAGAGGACATAGTGGAACAAGGGGTAGAGAGAAAGCTAGTGCATCCCTCATCTCTCACCAGTGAAGCTTCCTTATACAACAGAGTGCAATGCGTACAGAAGACTACAAATGGCCAACTTTTAAAGAACAGGAAACTATAGAATGTGTGTACCTGCATAGGGCTCTTATATTAAACCTCACCCACCCACGACTCAGGGACTATTGCGGAAGAGGGGGTAGAAAGACTGTAAGAGCCAGGGCTGGTTCATGAGCATGTGGAAACAGAGGCTTTCAGGCCACTGGAAGCTTGCACATGTGAACTTGCGGCAATGGTGGCATTGAGCACAGGACGCATGCCAACTCAATCAGACAAGTTCCCAGAGTGGAGTGGTGGGCCAGCACTAGAATGGGAACTATTGGAAACTGGCTACTACTTGGTGAGGGAGAGTATGCCTTATGATCTCTAGATAGGTTGAGTAGACTCTAGTGGATGAATTTGCACTGAAGGATATCTGGGTACAAATGCTTGACTGGATGGGACTTAACATATATGGCAGAATACATGAGATTTAGTGGGGGGTTAGCAGGGCATGGATGGGGGAGGGGGGATCTAAATTTGATTAAGAACTGTTGTATGAAATGTATAAAAGCTCAATAAAAAATAAAAAGACAAGCACTTGGGAGGCAGAGGCAGGCAGATCCCTGTGAGTTCAAGGCCAGCCTGGTCTACATAGTGAGTTCCAGGACAGCTGGGGCTACAGGGAGACCCTGTCTCAAAAAAACCAAAAAAAAAAAAAAAAAAACCCTAAATAAATAAATAAAAATAAAAAGACAAATTAAAAATACCAATGAGCTATTTGTTACAGTTATTATTATTGAAGAACAAAAAGTAGTAATTGTTGGCCAGAATGTGGAAAAAAGGGAAACTTGTACATTGACTGAGAAGGTAAATTGGTAGCTATTTTAAAGCATTCAAACTAGAACTAATTATGATTAAGCAATTTTATTTTGGGTATATAGCCAAAGGAAAAAAGCCAGAATACTGAAATATTTGTGTTTTCACATTCATTACAGCGTCACATTATGCTGTTTGGAGTCAACTTTAAGTGTCTGCACAAATAAAGGAAATGCTGTACAAAGCAAAAATAAATAAATAATAAGTAAATAAGAATTGGTAGTGGCGTATTTTTGGAACTTAGTATCTGTTGTAGCAATGGAAACATTTTGTGTTTTGCTGCAGATACACTTGGGTGACTGGTAAGGAGCCACTGACTTACTATGACATGAACTTGTCTGCCCAGGATCATCAGACCTTTTTCACCTGTGAAACAGACTTTTTACGGCCTTCAGACACAGGTATGTATTGTTTGTTCATGGCATAAATAGTGATTGTGAAACGTATTTTAAATGTTCTTTAGAGTTATTTATAATACACAGCTACTTGGCTTGGAGTTATTTACATTATAAATAAGAAACTCAGATTAACTTAAAGTGAATTATAATTATAAACTAGGTTAAGATACTCTCTTCTAAGAATTCTTTTAAATTTCTGCTTTTTCATTACTTAAAAAGTTTTCAGATCAAACACAGTAGAAAATAGTATACATTGCTTTGGTCTGGGAAACAGTTATCTGCAGTTATGAATAAAAGAATAGGACAGGGACTGGGGAGATGGCTCAGTGGGTAAAAGTGCTTGCTGTGCAAGGCTAATATCCCGAGTTCAAAGCTATTGAGCCAGCTAGAACAACTAGAGACCTTGTCTCAAACAAGATGGAACGAGAAGACCAACACTATTCACATATCCACAACCTCCCTTTCTCTCCTCCCTCTATCTTCTCTCTCTCTCTCTCTCTCTCTCTCTCTCTCTCTCTCACGCACGCACGCACGCACGCACACACACACACATACACAGAATAGGGCAATATATGAATATTGAGGAATGACAAGTAGAAAATATGGGATATACTTTGTTCAATTCATAAAGTGGAGATGCATATAAAGTGGCAGATCATAGAAATGTCTATGTTTAGTTCTCTCTAAGCTGTTCTCTTCAAAGCAGAGTATTAAGGACTGGGGATACAGCTTAGTGGTAGGGGCTTTCCTAGCATGTATGAAGCCCCGGGTCAGATACCCAGCACCAAGGAGTGGCAGAAACTCTTATGTGAATGACTTAATAACAGCGACATTTTTCTTAACTTTCTTCTACTTTGAATGCCCTTGCCCTCCTTAACAGTCTGATGACTCACCATTCACATTCTCTGCGAAACCGTCTCTGGAATCTCCTATAATATAGTATGAATTATTTTTTGCATTTCTTATTTGATGCAGTTATGAATAAATGAATGACATAGGTATCATACATGTCTTAAGTAATTTCACTAATAACATTGAGACAGCATTTATTATGCACCAGATGCTGTTGTAAGTAATTTGTAGAAATGCTCTAATTTGATCTTTCCAATCATGTTATGAGATAGGTACTATGATCAGCCCCATTTTAAAAATAAAGGAACTGGGGCTGGAGAGATGGCTCAGTGGTTAAGAACACTGGCTGTTCTTGCAGAAGACAAGGGTTCAAATCCCAGCACCCACATGGCAGCTAACAACTGTCTGTAACTCCAGTTCCAGGGGATCTGACAGCCTCTTCTGTCCCCATGGGCATTGCATGACACAGGTGCACTTACCTACATGCAATACAGACATACACATAACAATAATAAATGAAAGTTGGGCGTGGTGGCACACGCCTGTAGTCCCAGCACTTGGGAGGTAGAGGCAGGTGGATCTCTGTGAGTTCAAGGCCAGCCTGGTCTATATAGTGAGTTCCAGGACAGCTGGGGCTACAGTGAGACCCTGTCTCAAAAAGACCAAAAAAAAAAAAATAATAAATAAATAAATAAATTAATTAATTAATTAAATAAATAAAAATAAAGGAACTAAGCTGGTCATGGTGGCTTATGCCCATAATCTAGCACTGAGGAGGCTGAAACAGAAGGATTAGCTGAAGTTCAAGCCCAGTGTGAACTTTATAGTCCCAGGTCAGCCTGAGCAATAGTATGAGACTGTATGAAATCCAAATAAATAAATAGGAATCAAGGCAAAGTGAGACATGCCACCCGCAGCTAACAAATCTTAAAGCTAGATTTCAAACTCCGTTGTGGATCTTAAACTACTGTAGAACTACTGCTTCAACATGCTACATTGATAGAAGAAAATCTGCAGCAAGGGTCTGCCAAAGCCAGTTTCTTAGCACTGAAGTAAATTCATTGTATTACATCTTTGCTGGATTAAATTTGTTAAGGGTGGATTGTAGCAGGAAAACCAAGGATCTTTGACATAGTTACATAAAACACTTTAATTGCAAGTAGAGGAGAGTAATTGCTGTATGTATGAGTGCTTAATGTTTATATTCATAGCAAAAGTGTGTCAGGGAAGTTGCCGAAGAATATCAGTGTTGTCTGTTAACTTTGAGGGCTGAGGTGACAGTGGAAGTTAAACCCCATCTCCCTCTCTCAGGCAGTATTGCAACAAGCTTCTCAGATAGCTCTGATGGATCTTAAAAGCATGTCCAAATATCTCCCAAAAGAAGTTTGACAAATCTCTGTCTTTTTACACATTTTAAACTTGATATTATAAGGTTAAATAATTGCAAAGAATGTAATTTTTGATATATTATAAAATGCAAATATTGAAAACCATTATTCCCTATATTTAAATATATGCCACTGAGCTGCATCTAATAATTTGATACTTACCATTTTCTATTGAAAACTATATGAACAAATACTTTTTAATAGTAAGAAACCTTCTGTAAGTCTTTTTTTATTTTGTTTCTTGAGAATGGGTCTTACTGTGTTGCCCAGATTGGCTCAAATTTGAGAACTCACTGCCTTACTGTCCCAAGCACTGGAATTACAAGTATATGCTCGTTGGAGTCCTTTTTCTTCTTCTTTTTTTATAAAAATTTTATTAGTTCTGTTTTATGTGTATGAGTGAGCATATTGCCTGCATGTGTGTATGTGCACCCATGTTGCAGTGCCCACAGAGATCAGAAGAGGACATCAGATCCCCTGGAACTGGAATTATAAACAGTTGTTAGCTACCGTGTGGGTGCTGGGAACTGAACCCAGGTCTTCTGCAAGAGCAGCCAGTGCTCTTAACCACTGAGGCATTTCTCCAGCCCTTTTTCTTTTTGAATGCTTATTCTATACCTGACAACCTAACTTTTAATTATTTTATGCTTTGGAGTCTTTTGTTACTCTCACAAACTCTTCCACAATAACCATTTTTATATAATTAAAAAAATTTAAATTACATTTATGTCCATAAGGCTGTGTTATGATGTGTTTTAGTTATAGTCTTGTCAATCCTCACAGCTACATACTTGGCTTTTTTTCCCCTCTCTAAACTTTGGAATATGCCTTTATATAACTTAACTGAGTGTCTTTGTGTCAATACCTTCAATCAGATCATACTGACAGAGAAATCTGACTTCCTGTTTTCAGTTCAGATAAACTTGTTAACATTTCCATTTTGAATTTAGATTTTTGCTTGTTGTTTTGTGGGGCAGGGTCTCCCTATGTGGCCCAAGCCATCCTCAAGCTGGTGATTCTCTTGCCTCATCTGGGAATATAAGAATGTGCTGTCTTGCTGTGGATTAAGATTTTAAGAAGAGCTGGAGAGATGGCTCAGTGGTTTAGCGCACTGGCTGCTCTTGCAGAGGATCTGGATTCAGTTCCCAGCACCCTCATGGTGGCTACTAACTGTGACTCCAGTTCCAGGGAATATAATGCCTTTTTTTGGCCTCCAGGGTCATTGCATGCATGTGGTACACTGACATGCAGGCGAAACCCTTATACACATCAAATAAAAATAAATCACGATTCTAAGAAGAAAGATGAATTTTTTAGGGGTGGGGGTTGTTTTTGAGACAGGGTCTCCCTGTAGATCCAGCTGACCTGGAACTCACTATGTGGACCAGGCTGGCCTTGAACTCACAGAGATCTGCCTACCTCTGCCTCCCAAGTGCTGGGATTAAAAGCATGTGCCACCATGCCCGGCGAAAGATGAATTTTCTTTCTGTTTATCACTTGCCAAAATCAAGCTCTTGCTTTATTATTCCTTACCAATGTCTCCTTTGACTTCTTGTAAGGGCTTTTCCTTAGAAGTAATGGATTCTTTAAATGATTGGGGAGGGGGTATTAATGGGGCTAATAAACTTATTATCACTCCCTAGTTCAAAGCATATTGGGGCCAGAACATCTATCTATCTATCTATCTATCTATCTATCTATCTGTCTGTCTGTCTGTCTGTCTGTCTGTCTGTCTGTCTGTCTATCTATCATCTATCTATCATCAATCATCTATCATCATCATCATCTTCTATCATCTATCATCTATCTGTCATCTATCTATCTATCTGTGAATGATTTGTTTGCTTTTGAAAGGGCCTTGAACTCTCAGTGAAGGTGAGAATGACTTTGAACTTCTGATCCTTCTCCCTTTACCTGAATGTTAGGATTACAGAGGTGCTCCACCATATGTAGCTTATATGATGCTGGGGATCAGTCTCAGGGATTTGTGCATGCTGGGCAAGCATTCTACAAACTAGGCTGAGAAGAATATTCTGGTTTTCACCATCAAGTTCCACTGCTCAAAGAAAGAGTAAAAGGCAGGACTCTATTTTAGGGTGCCTTGATTTAGGATGGCAACCCTCAGCTGGGCTTGATGGTACATGCCTGTTATCATAGTACTTGGAAGGCTAACACAAGAAAATCTTGATCTTACCTCAAAAAGAAACAAGTACCCCCAAAACTGGCTACTTCTTTGGAGTTTTTTATTCGAGTATTACATTGATAAGGAAGTAGGGAAAGAGTTTCCTATACTGCTTGAGGATATAAATTAATAATTTTATAATTTTGTTGAAAGGAGTTTTGGGATGTATTTCCAAAATCTCTTTTAAAAGCTGTACTTGTTTAAACCAAACCAGACTAGAAAGAAATATTGGTTAGCTAGACAAAGACAGATGCTGAAAGACGTTGTTTGTCTTGCATTTTTTGGTTTTGCTTTACTTTGCCATATTGGGAATTGAACCTAGGACCTCACACATGCTAGGCAAGTATTTTTACCACTGAACTATACCCTCAGCCATTTTTTTTTGTTTGCTTTTTTGAGACAGGGTCTCCCTGTAGCTCCAGCTGTCCTGGAACTCACTGTGTAGACCAGGCTGGCCTTGAACTCACAGAGATCCACCTGCCTGTGCCTCCCAAGTTCTGGGATTAAAGGCGTGTGCTACCATGCCTGGCCCACTTTTTTAAAAGTTAGGGTCTTGCTTTGTGGCCTTAGCTAGCTTGGTAATTGCCATATAGCCCTGCTGGCCTCAAATTCACAGTGTTCCTGTGCCTCGGCCTCTTAAGTGCTTGGATCATAGGCTTGCACTACCATGCATGTATGAAAGATGATTGTTCTTACAATGTTTATTTTTGATGTTGTTGTGTTTTGCTTATGTTTTTGAAACAGGATCTTCTGTAGTCCAGGTTGGCCTCAAAATCTCTTCTAAAGATGACCTTGAACTTCAGATCTTCCTGCCTTCACCTTCCAAGATTTAGGATTTCAAGTTTATGCTACCCGGAATAGTCTACAATGTTTTTAGAATAGGAAAGCATTAGATATAACTTAATTTTTTATCAATAGGAATTGATTGAATTATGATTATATACTAGAATATTAAATAACCATTTAAAATATTAGTAAAGATCAGCATTAAAGTTTGACCTGTAAATATCATACAACTTATAGAAGACAGCTCCATCATAAAAGAATCACAAGTTTAGCTTCATACTCCACTTTTATGTAATAGTTTAGTGTTTTAGTAGATTGATGTTCTTTACCTGGTCAGAATCAGATGGGTGTTGACTTGCATCAATTTGTCAAGTTCAGGAAGCATTAGCCGTCAGCTAGCTGGTGACATGTTTGATATGAGAAATGTATTTTTGTTACACAAGCGGAATATATTGTCTAACTTTCTGAGCCAAGACTAATATTTTGTTTCCAAAGGAAAACTCAAACATTTTCCACATTATTCTTTCTAGACAGTTGTAGGTTTTGTTCCAAAGTCAACATTTATAAGTTCTCAGTTTTTCTTATCAAACTTTAATAAGCCAGGTAATTTCACTAGTCTACTGTGTTTGTGTTTATTTAGTTTTTAAGAAACATCACTTAGTTTGATAGTTTCATTTTGATACAGTAAATGGCAGCAAACTCATCCCATTATTACAGAGAAGTCCTGACTCAGGTTAGTGTTGAATCTTGGTAAAGCTGACATTTTCCAGAGGTGCACTATATTCTAAACTAATCCATTCTTCCCTCCTAGTTTTCATAGAAGATAAAAATCTACACATTTTTGCTAAAATGAATCATTGATTAGACAAAGACCTTGTTTTTAAGCTTTTGTATATTTTTAGCAGTTCCATAGAATCATTTCAAAACGATAAAATGAATCTTTCACGTTGATTATAATCAAGTGACACTCAAACTCAATTTTGACATGCACTCAGATATATAAATATTCATGTATAATAATGATGTAATTAACTCAGTTAAGTACCTTATATATTGTTATCCAAGTAGATCATAGAATATTTTTATTATCTGTAAAGCTTCCAAATTTAATGTTTCTTATGTAAATGTGAGCTAGTAACCCAGGTTCATATGTTTAAGAGCATGTTATTTAAAGCTTATTTACTTCTTTAGCTCATTCTTCATACGTTTTACACAAAATGATTTATGTTTACCATCTCATCCACTTTTTGAACTATTTTTCCCACAGTTATGCAGAAGGCATGGAGGGAAAGAAATCCTCCAGCTCGAATCAAAGCAGCCTATCAAGCTTTAGAGTTAAACAATGAGTAAGTTGGAAAAATGAATTTGTTTTAAAGGAAATACAGGCAAATAATTTTATATTTCCTTTTATATGCTCATAAGACACTTAGAGCACTAACAGTCCCCTTTCCTATTTTGCATACTAGAGATAAAATTTCCAGTATTCCCTGGCATCTGTATTTTGCTTTTCAGTTATAGATTCGCATATGCTTTTAAGTAGAAATTATTTTATTAGTTCTTTTTACACTAGAGAGTACCAATGAAGGATGGTGATAATGATATTTAAATGGGTATCTAAATGTTTGTGTCACTGTTTTATTATTTTTTTCATTTAAATCATCCATTTAAAGCACTCATCAGTCCTGAATACTTTTCTTGTTAATGCGCTTGGAGACATAAGAAGAGGATTCAAAATTTGCAGTGTAACTGTCAATTTTTTGCATGTTAATGGCATTTATTTTATAACTTTTTGTATCATCTTCATACTTTAAAAGGACAAAATGTAAAATACTGAGTCAGTGTTTAAATGGAGCAGATCAATAAATATGAATCTTAAATAAATATCCTAAATAAATGCCAGGTTGGAAACATTCAAGGAATGCTTCCTAGATAATGGGAATTTAGAGTTTTCCCTCAAACTCTCTTATCCTCATTAAGAAGAACTTCACAAGGGGGAGCAAAAATGACAGTAATGCATTCTAAAAGTAGTAACTACCTGACAAGAATATAATTGACTTTATTGAAACTCTGTAAGATAGAGTTTTACAGTACTCAGAGGTTTACAGTAACGTGCTAATTGCTTAATCAAGGAAAAGAATTACCTAAATATGAATGCAAGCTCTGTAGTGTTTTAACCGACCCTGCCTTGTCCCCACTCCCTGACTCAGTGGCATTTTTGATGACAAAGTGTGCATTCCAGATACAGGTTTATAGCTTGAGAGGAACAGAGCACACCGTAGTCTTAAAGAGCTGTGGTTATTTATTTTTACTAATGCAATGGTTTCTTGAAGCACCAGCTCAAAGGGCTTGCCTTTATTTCAGTTATCTTGAAGTTCTCTGAATTGATCACCCTGGGGGGACATTTGTTGAAAATATTTGGAGTAAAATGCATTATTAGTATCTCTGTCTGATGCAAAGGATTAAAAACAAAAATAAAAACGGAGGAGGAAAAAAAAAAAAAACAACCAGAAGACTTAGAGGAAATGAGAAGACTTTGGAGAATGAAACACTGGAGTAGAGAGCTTTGAAAAGCTCCCAGAAATTCCTGGGGATCTCACAGAGTTGGGCACATGTTCAGGAAAGACTTGAAAAATCCCTAAGCTCTCATCTCTGGCTAACCTTTTGGTTGGACATAAGTAGGAAATGAAACTTAAGGCAGAGTTTTAAACTGCCTGGTTGAATGTTGAAAGTGTGCCCCAGTAAAAACACACAGAGCCTATCTAGGGGTTTACAGATATTTGAGAAAATTTTTATCAGATCATTAACTGACACTAAGCTAGACAAGCACAGACCTCACCCATCATACATGACAAAGAATTTTAGATTTTATAGAATCAGTTCAGGGGCTGGAGAGATGGCTCAGCCGTTAAGAATACTGGCTGATCTTGGAGAGGACCTAGCTTAGTTCCTAGCACCCACATAACTAACAACCCTCTGTAACTTCAATTTCAGGGGACCCTACTCCCTCTTCTGGTCTCCACAAGTTTTGCCCTCACTTGGTGCACTTACATACATGCAAACAAAACATTCATACGCATAAAAAAAATAAAATAAAAATAGGTTCAGGAAAGCCACTAAACAAATCTACAACAATCAGCAACAGTAGAGGTAGTATAGAAAATATGGTTTCTAGTGTTGCCAGAGTATTTAAAATTTTCTATTTGCAACAAAAAAATTACAAAGCATTCAAAGAACATGAGTGTGGTGGCACACACCTATAACCTCAGCAGGCAGAAGGCTGAGGTAGGGGAATCACATGTTTGAGACCTGACTAAGCTAGATAGCTGAGTTCTAGGCCAGCCTGACCTACATAGCTAGACCCTATACCCAAATAAAACAATGCAACAAAAAACAGCATGCAAAGAAACACCACCAACAAAAATGACCATAAATAAGAAGGAAGGTATTTGTGGAAAGCTCCTCTGAGGAAGCCTAGACTTTGGACTTAATAGACTTTAAATCATCTATTTTGAGTATGTTCGAAAAGATAAAGAAAACCATGAGAAACAACCATAGTGATATCTCACTGTTAGAGAATTATTAATAAAGCAGATAAGACATAGATCCTAAGAGGAAATCCTAAAATAAAAGTGTTTCTGAAATAAAAAATTCAGTATAGGAATTTGTAACAGATTTGAGCAGACAGAAGAGTCAGCAAACTTGTGTTAGGTCAGTTGAGCTTACCTAGTCTAAGGAGTAGGAAAAGTTAAAGGAATGAAGAGAAATGAAGTGTCTAAGACACCTGTGGGACACAGTATGATTGGAGTCCCAGAAATATAGGAGAGAAAAAAGTGCAGAAATAGTATTTGCAGAAATAATGGCCAAAAACCAAAATATGAGTGCACCAAATCTAGCAGCATTTGGAGAATACCGTACATGCTGACCAAGTGGGGTTTGTTCTTAGAATTCAAGAACATTTCAGCATATAAAAGGTGATTGGTACAATGCAATCCATAAACAGGAGGAAGGAAAGAAGCTGCATGATTATCTCAACTGATGCAGAAAGAGCATCTAATTTAGTACCCTGTCATGACAAAAGTAGGTGAAAACCAAATAATGTGTCACAGTATTAGAACAAAGTACAAGATTCACATATTGACTCAATTAATGAAAGAATATTTGGCAAAATCCAACATAATTTTATGATAAAACTCTAAAACATGCTAGAAATGTAAGGAATCTTACTCGGCTGATAAAGAAGATCATGAAAAGCCCACACCTGAATACACTTGGTGATTACAGACTGAAAGCTTTCTATATGAAAGCAGCAGTAAGGTAGGGATGCCTGCCCACTTTTTCTGTTTACCATATTAGAAATTCTAACAAGGGCGGTTGGGCATGAAAAGGAAAAAAAAAAAGATATTCATATTTGAAAGGAAGAAGTAAAACTGTCTTTATTTGAAGATGGCACGATCCTATGTTTCAAAAACTTTAAAGAATTCACACACCAAAAAACCCTCTAAGTGCTAATAAATTAGGGTTAAAATGTTGCACGGGACAAGCGTGACATAAAATTAGCTCTATCTCTATACACTGGCAATGAATAATTTTAAAAGCAAATTAGGAAAACAGTTCCATGCTCCATTTGCAGTAACATCAAAAGTATTAAAATACTTAGGAATAAGCTGGACACTTGGGAGAAGGCAGAGGCAGGTAGATCTCGGTGAGTAGACCAGCTGGTCTCCGTAGCGAATCCAGGCCAGCTGTGGATACAAGGAGACCTTGTCTCAAAAAGACCAAAAAAAAAAAAAGAATATTAAAATACTTAGGAATAAGTTTAACCAAGAGAACATAAGACTGGTACACTGAAAACTGTAAATCAGGGTTATGAGCTGGCTCAGTGGGTAAAAGCACATACAAACCTGATAACCTGAATTGATCTCCAGAACTCATGTCATGGTGGAAAGAGAAAACTTATTTCCAAAAGTCATCCTCTGAATGCTACACAAGTGCAGTAGTACACATCTCCTCACATTCACATATGCACGGACACACACACAATACAAAAAATTTAAAAACCCACGAAAGAGTGTTCAATTAATTAATGTAAATAAATGGAGAGGAATCTTCTTTTCATGGATTATACAGTTAAATATCATTAACAAAACTGTCAGTGCTCCCCCATGTTGATCTACAGGTTCAGTGTAACCCCTATTTAAAATTGCATTTATAGGGCTATCAGTGGCTCAGTGGTTAAGAGCACTGGCTGCTCTAGCAGAAGACCCAGGTTCGATTCCCAGCACCCATGTGGCAAATAACAACCATTTGTAACTCCAGTTCCAGGGAATCTGATGCCCTCTTCCTGAATTCCACAAGCATTGCATAACATGGGTGCACTAGGTACATGCAGGCAATACACACATACACATAAAATAAAAATAAAATATTTAAAATTTCTATTATTAACTTTTACAGAAATGGACAAGCTGACCTTAAACTTTGTGTTACAAGAGGCTCTAACTCACCCAAAACGATCCTGAAAGAGAACATCAGAGGATTCACACTTTCTAATTTTAAAACTTATTACAAAGCTAGGTGATTAAATCATAGGAGTAGACATCAAGAGTAATTAATGGATTCCAAGTGAGAATATGGAAAAAAGCTGATATATTGTGGTCAACTGAATTTTTAATAAAGATGCCAAGACTACTCCATGGAGGCAAAACATGGTCTTCAACAAATGATGCTGAAACAGTTGGATAGCCACATCTACAAGCCTGAATTTGTATACTTGCCTCACATATGCATATTAATTAATTAAAAATCAAGAAATTAAAACTATAAAATTTTATAAGAAAATATGGAGTATGGGTATAAAGGGTAGAGCTCTTGCTTAGTGTGCATGAAGTCCTGCACCCTGTCCTACATCTTAAAAAAGAAGGAAAGGAGAGAGGAAGGGAGGGAGGAAGGAAAACAAAAATAGAGAAAAAGGTGGGACAAATCTCATGACCCCAGATTTTGCAGTGATTTAGCATGCATGACACTGAAGGCACAAGCAATAAAAGAAAAAAATATCTAAACCAGACTTCATTAACTTGAGAAACTTTTGTGCACCAAAGGATACTGTTAAGAGAGAAACTAGATCTGTGATTGTTGGGTAGGGAGGCAAGAGAGATGAGTGACTGCTTAATGGTTATAGTTTTGATTAAGGTTGTGCAACCTTGAGAATGCTTTAAAAGTTCCTGAATCCTGCACTTCAGTGTTTTACATTGCTGGGTCGACAGGGTGACTCAGTGGATAAAAATGCCTGCCATCAAGCCTGATGATCTGAATTTGATCCTTGCTACCCACATGGTGAAAGGAGAGAACTGACTCCTGCAAATTGTTCTCTGACCTCCCTATCTACATGTTCCTCATGGTGCACACACAGACATACACATATGATAAATGAATAAATAAATAATGTAATAAAAGTAAAACTAGCCAGGCATGGTGGCACACACCTTTAATCCCAGCACTTGGGAGGCAGAGGCAGGCAGATTTCTGTGAGTTCAAGGCCAGCCTGGTCTACATAGTGAGTTCCAGCTGGGGCTACAGGGAGACCCTGTCTCAAAAAAACCAAAAAAAAAAAAAAAGTAAAAATAAGGGCTGGAGAGATGGCTTAGCAGTTAAGAACACTGGTTGTTCTTGCAGAAGACCCGGGTTCGAATCCCAGCACCCACATGGCAGCTAACAACTATCCATAACTCCAGTTCCAGGGGATCTGATGGCCTCTTCTGTCCTCCACTGCATGACACGGATGCACTTACCTACATGCAGGCAATACACTTGTACACATAAAATAAAAATAATAAATAAAATATTTTAAAAAGTCAAAATAAAATAAATGTTTTATGCTACTTTGTGAATTTAATACCCCTCCCCCAGTTTAAGATGAAAGTAAGTTGTTAGGCATTCATATAATTAATTTCTTATAATAAGATATCCAGGTGCAGGAAACAAGACAAAAGTGCTAAGGAACAGAAACTATAAGCTATAATGTAATTTATTTTTTAGTGTACTGGGGTAGGACCCAGAGCCTTGCACATGCTAGGTAAATACTCTATCACTGAGCTACATTTCTAGCCCTTTTTTGATTTTCATTTTGAGATAGAGGTTTACTCATTTACCCAAACAGTCCCTGAACTTGTGACCTTCCTGCTTCACCCTTCTGAGTAGCTGGGATTACAGGCCTGTGACACCAGAGTTGGCCTGTAATTTAAAATTGTGTTTAGGAGCTGGGGATGTATCTCAGTGGTAGACATTGCCTACCATGTCTGAGATCCAGAGTTTGATCCCTAGCACCACAAAACTAATAAAATGAAGTTATGTTTATATTTTTATTCTATTTTATCAATTTTTATCTATCAAGGTCATTATAAAAGTGGTGTTTTGTTTTGTTTTGCAGTGCTAGAATCAAACCCAGGGCCTCAAGCATGCTAGGCAAGTGCTCTACCACTATGCTATACCCTAAGCCCTAAAGATATTTCTATCATGGTTATTTAAAAGCATTTGAAACAATAAATACAAACATTTGATGCTGGGCATTGTGGCACACACCTGTAAAAATCACCAGCACTTGGAAGCTGAGTCAGGAGAATGAGAGTCCCAGGCTAGCCTGGGCTATACAGCAAGAGTCTGCTTCAAACAACAACAAAAATTTGAATTTGTTTTTGGAATGGTAATCAGGATACCTAGTGTTTAAACCGGCAGTATATCCATTGCTCTATAAAAATCCAACGTACTATACTGGAGAAATCTTTTGATTAGTAAAATTATATATAAATTTGCAGTATTATTTGAAGAATGCATCAGTGGTGTCATTTGTATTGGCAATGGTTATCTTTTTTCTTTTTTTCTTCAGTATAAGAAAGGTCTTATCATGTAGCCCAGAGTACATGGTACTCCTCAGTAGCCAAGACTGGCATCAGACTCCTGCCGCCTGCTTCTGTCTCCTTAGTGTTGGGATTGTGTGTGGATGATAGCTTCTGACCATCATTTTTGCCTCACACCTGCCCTTTCACCTTTGCCATTGATCTCTTAAACACTGTTTAATTGAAGTATGTGGACCATATATGTAACTTTAGATTTTCTAGTAGTCACATTTAAAAAGCTTAAAAAGAAATTAATTTGAATGTTTATTTAGCCATATTCAAAATATGAAACATTTTTAACATGCAATCTATATTTTTTAAGTTTGTTTTTATTGAATTTTTGTGTATTTCTTATAGAACATCTCAATCAATCTTCATCATCTTTATACCCCCATCCCTTGCTGCTAGGTGAAGAAGAGCTGATCTTCCTAAAACAAGGGACTGTAGATAGGCAATCAATATTTTTTAAAAGACTATTAATGAGATATTTTACATTTTCTCAGTCTTCAAAATTTGATATGTGCTCACATTACATGTCAGTTAGACTAACCGCATTTCAAGTGCTAGGTAACTACTTGTGACTACTGACTAGAATGCTGAACCATGTAGGGTTGGACAATCAGAACTAAGACATTGTCCTCAGAGTAAAAATACTTGTTACTTATGTGAATGGAATGGAAACTTTTTGTTTCTCTCTCTTGCCTAAAGCCAAGAATTTCTTTTATTAGCCAGATGTTGACTTTAAAGATATAACCCAAAATCTCTGTGTTTAGCAAGGTAAATAAAGAAAAGGAAACTTGAGTAAACATAAGTATATGTGAGGAAGGAGTAGAATTCAGACTTGTTAAGTCCAAGAGAGGACTCAGAGAATGCCCAGGTTTGGGGAAAAGGTCTAGTGTTGGAATATGTTTCTGATTGGATATGAAATTACTTAGCTAGCCAAGGGGATCTCCCAACCTTCAGTCTCCCCAGAGCTGCCCATGTGAGTGACAGCAGATGTGACCGTTGGGGCATGGTTCTTAGAATTGTTTTTCAGACATCTTTTATGGAACTTCCTTTCTCTCTCTTTCCACAAAAAGCAAAGGATCAGAGAATGGAAATTGAAAAATTTAAAGCCCAGAGAATAAAGAATGCAAGGGAAAGATAAGAGTGGGGAGGCTGTGGGATTAGACATAACGAGCATGTTATGAGTTAAAATATTGAAGTTTCATCTTTTCTTCAAATCTGGAAGGTGTAGGCAGGGCTAAGGGAAGCATGGTGCAAGGGACATATCCGAGAGAAGTAGGTGCTTTACCATTGTACTTAAATTTGCCTTGCTTGATTTATAGCTGTGCCACTGCCTACGTTCTACTGGCCGAGGAAGAAGCAACAACCATCGTAGATGCTGAAAGGTTATTTAAACAGGCACTCAGGGCAGGAGAAATAATTTATAGGCGATCACAGCAGTGCCAACACCAAAGTCCCCAGCATGAAGCTCAACTGAGTAAGCAAATTTGGAATGATCTTTATTCCTTTTTGTTTTGTTTTCTTTTCTTTCTTTCTTTCTTTCTTTTTATTTGGGGGGGGGTTTGGAAACAGGCTCTCATGTAGTTCATGTAGTCTAAGTGTTAGCCTCAAACTTTCCATGTAGATGAGGATAGCCCTGAACTAACTGATCTTCATGTCTCTACCTCCTGAGTACTGGGATTACAGTCATGTGCCACTATGCTCAGATTCCATCTTTTAGCCTGTGAAATGACCTCTTTTATGTTTAAAACATAAAACACCAATAATAAAAAACAATATGTAAAAAATAGCAAATTTTACAAGATAACTAGTAGATTAATTATTTCTAGTACATTAATACCAACAAAACAAAAATATGTGATATCCAAGGAATGCTTATGGAAGGAAGTTGATCTGCTGTGATTATTGAGAAAAAATAGTAGAGGCACTTTTTTTTTTTCCTTTTTTACATTGCTGGAAATCAAATCCAAGGTTTCTTCCCACATGCTTGGCAAGACCCTAACCCTGAGCTACATCCCTAGCTCAAGTGCATCATTTTGTTTGCTCTTCAGTCTATGTATCTATACGTGGTGCCAAGGGTACTTTGCTCCTCCCCTCCTTCCCCCCCTCCTCTTCTTCCTCCTACTCCTCTTCTTCTTCCTCCTCCTCCTCTTCCCCCTCCTTTTTATTTTTTGAGACAAGCTATCTTTACATTTGGGATCCTTTTGGGAGTAGCCCAAAGTCCAATTTCATATTTAGCCTTGGTTCTTTCTCTGGTTGATCCGCCCCCTTTCTGTTTGGATCAGGAACTCTCTTTTCTTTCAGGATGCTCTTGTTATGATTGCAACACTTTTACCAAAGCTGTTTCAATGAGCAGTGTTGCTGCTACTTGATAAGTTTTATAACCAAGGGGTTTTAATTTTGTGATTTTGGCAGATAGTGGGCAATAAATTGAAATATATTTACATAAGGCATTATCTCTTAGCAGCTAAGTTCTGCATCTTTTGTTTATGAAAATTAAAATTTGGGTAATGTTTCTCTCAGTTAAATACTGGTGTTTACATTATGTTTTATTAAGGCATGTAATTACATACCACTATGGGAATAGTTAATTTTGTAGCCTGGAACTAATGAAACTACATTTGTTAAAAACTCTTGTTATTTATTGTTGCATAATATCAAACATGGTTATGTTGTAGAATATTTTTAATTGATTTTGGTTTTAGTTTTTGAGACAGTGTCTCTCTGTAGCCCCAGATGTCCTGGAACTTGCAATGTAAACCAGTCTGTCCTTGATCTCACAGAGATCTGCCTGCCTCTGTTTCCTGAATGCTGGGATTAAAGCTGTATGCCCCCGCGCCCGGCAATTTTTTTAATTTTTAAAATTACATTTATTTATCTACTTGTGTGTATGTGTGCCATGTGGGTGTGTGGAGGTCATAGGACTATTTGTGTGAGACAATTCTCTCCTTCCACCATATGGGTCCCAGGGATTGAACTCAGGTTATCAGGCTTGGTAGCAAGTGTCTTTATACCATCTCACTGGCCCATGTTACAGATTTTTTTCTTAGCAATTTGTAGAAATAGTTTTGTAATTAATTACTAATTTAAGGAAAGTTTATATTAGTCATGGAAATTTTGCCATTTTGAATTTTTTAGCCAAAACAGGAGTGAATATTATAATTATAGTTTGTTTAGGCAGAAACTTAAGCTAGTCAAACATTATATCTTCTTATCAGAATATATTTGTTTTCTGTTAGCATTAAAGTCATCAATCAAATGTATGACTTGTATATACTATACCCAGATTACTAATAATTAGAGGCAAAACTAATTCTAGATTTAAAGTTTTCATATAGAAATAAAACAAAAGTGATACTTGTATCATTTTTTCTAAATAGGGCGAGATACCAATGTGCTTGTGTATATTAAAAGAAGATTGGCAATGTGTGCAAGAAAATTAGGAAGAATAAGAGAAGCAGTAAAAATAATGAGAGATGTAAGTAAAAACTGAAATATTATTTGTCTTCCTTCAAAATTAAAAATGTAATTTAAGTCATCAGTTATTTTAATGCAGAATCATTTTATTTATTTATTTTTATTTTATGTGTGAGTGTATTGCCTGCATGTATGTGAGTACACCCATGTCATACAATGTTGCAGAGGTCAGAAAAGGGCTTCAGATTGCCCTCGAATGGAGTTAAGGACAGTTCATAGCTGTTATGTGGGTGCTGGGAATTGAACCTGGGTCCTCTGCAAGAGCAGTTAGTGCTCTTAACTGATGAGCCATCTCTCCAGCCCCAGAATCATAGTTTTTTTAATTGACCATTTGTATAGTGGGAATTTTAAAATATACATACATTTCTTAAGGCTTAGGTCTCTTTAAGTTTGTAAAGTAGCAACTGAATTTCTACTTTAGTAAACATGATTCAGCTCTTCTGATATGATTTTGATCTTTTTTTCCTTTTAATATACAGTTGATGAAAGAATTTCCTCCTCTTACCATGTTGAACATCCATGAAAATCTCTTAGAATCACTTCTAGAATTGCAGGCCTATGCAGATGTTCAGGCAGTCCTGGCAAAATATGATGGTGAGTTTTGTCTTAGCTGGTAGCATGGTCATAGTTGCCTCTTGTCAATTGTGTGATCATCAGTATGATCCTTTTCTAGGGTTTCTTTAATTTTTTCTGTCCACTCTCAGTATTTAGTGTGTAGTACAAGCTGTTACTAAGTGCCTTCTTTATCTAGACTTTTGGCAACAAAAGCCTACATAAGGAGGAGCTTTTCTTTTGCAAAGATTTGTTTATTAATTGAATACTTAATATGAAGTACTTGGGACACAATGGTGAAGGAGAAAACATGGATTTAACCCCATTGGATTTACATCTTAGTGGAACATGTAGAGAACTGGACAGCAGTTTCACTGAAGATAGCATATGAGGAATACTATAGGCATTGTGCACATACTAGGGTGCCTTGTTTATTTTGGAGTATCAAGGAAGGTCAACAGAAGTTGTATTACAGTCTATAACAGTAATCCAGAATAACAGTTTTACAATGATTTTTAGTTGCAAAATGCAATTTACAATCTCATCATATCCTTATAATTAACACGTGAGGTGGTAGAACAAGTGTTTTTACTCTTTCCAGTTACTAAATTAGAAACTGAAGTCTTAAGAAGGTCAAATATGCCGGGTGTGGTGGTGCACGCCTGCAGAGGCAGGCAGATCTCTGTGAGTTCAAGGCTGGCCTGGTCTGGTCTACATAGTGAGTTACAGGACAGCTGGGGCTGCAGGGAGATCCTGCCTCAAAAAGACCAAAAAAAAAGAAGGTCAATTTATGGGAAACCTGAACCTTAGTTCAGATATTCCATTTCTCTTTTGCTAATCTTTCCATAAGAATAATTTAATGTATATTAGCTATTTTTATTATTATAACAATAACACCACTACAAATAGAATTGGGAGAATTTTAAAGACACAGATTCTCTTCTCATTCAAAGTAGGACACCAGTGTTTAACTCCACACTGAAAGCTTCCTAGCAAGCATGTTTCAGGTCATATCTGTCATTAGAACAGGACATGAAAAGTCACTTAGTCACATTTGTCCTGTCATGGCTTCCTACCATTAGTTTGGGAATCCTCATGACTTGGAAAGTTTGAAATATGTTATATTTGGAAAGGGAAGTTTATTTCTTTTAAACATCTGGAATTCTTCGGCAGTGCTTCAGAATAGTGTTGGCTCATGGAGAACTTTGTGAGAAATTCCTTCCATATGTAACTTACTGGATGCATGGCCTGCTCATGATATTTGTGCAGAACAAGCTTAGGGACTGAGTATAATATGTCAGAAAGCGACCTGATTTGTCAGAAATAAAACTAAAACTAATAAAGCCTACCTAATTTGGCATGCTTCTGTGTTTTTAGTTTTCATGAATCTCCGTTTTTATCATTGTACAATCCTGAAGTCATTGAAAGCAAAGTTTCTACCTCAGCTCTCCATTCGGTAATGTAAGTCTGGAACTAAAAACATCAATGAGGTCTTTAGTCTTCTTCTTCTAAGGGCACTACGTTAGGCATTCTTATAAAAAGGGATTTATTTTGTTTATGGTCTTAGATTAATTTTTTATTTTATGAAAAGTAGTCATTTAAGAGAATGGAGAAGACATAAAAACAGGAAAAAAGTTAAAATCAATCTGGATATAATAGCTGCTAAATATTTTAATTTTTTCTTAGTTTTTCTAAATATGTCATTTTTACATGGTTTTAATCATACTATGGCTTTCCTTCAAATATTCTTATTGTAAACAGATTGTTATAAACATTTGTTGAGTGCCTGTCACTATTGTGCAGGGGACTTGAATGAGCATAGTTTAATCTCTGCCAGAAAGCGCCAGTCTCCATTTTGAGAAGAGAAATCTGAGACCAAGGAGATTGCTACTCACCCAAGGATGGACAGCTAGTGAATAGAATCTAAATTCAAACTAAGGCTCCCAACCATGTGTCCAGGTCCCTCTACTGCTATATTACAGCTATTGAATTTCTATTATGAATTATTATGAAAAAAAATCTTAAGGTATTTTTTAATCCTTACCTGAACTGAAAATTATTATTACAGATATAAGCCTTCCAAAATCAGCAGCCATCTGTTACACAGCAGCACTGTTGAAAACGAGGACTGTTTCAGATAAGTAAGTAGTTATGAAACTACAATAATTTTGAAAGCCTGCTCAACATTTATTATGTTTTTTCCTCCACTGACTTTTAAGTATTTTATTTATTATTTTTATTTTTTGTGTATGAGTGTAGCGCCTGCATGTGTGTAAGTGCACCTATGTCGTGCAATGCCCATAGAGGTCAGAAGAGGGTGTTGGATTTCCCTGGAGCTGGAGTTACAGACAGTTGTTAGTCACTATGTCGGTGCTGGGAATCAAACTCATGTCCTTTGCAAGAGCAGCCAGTGCTCTTAACCACTGAGCCATCTCTTCAGGTCCCTCCACTGGCTTTTAAACAATGCTTTTTTTTCCTTTCTATTTCCTTCTGAATACCCTGGATCTTTTGTGACTCTGAGGCTTCTCACTGCAAATGGACTGAAGACAGAATTTTTAGAGCTAAGTAAATTGGAACTTAAGTTCAAACTCTACCACATACTAGATGTAGTACCTTGGGAAAGTTATTAATTTAAAAATAATATTATAGGATGATTATGTGAAGATTATATATACATTAAGTGCCTAAAGCAATCTCAAGACAGAAAGTACACACAGATAGCTGGGCCTGGGGCACATGCCTGTAATCCCAGCATTTGGGAGGTGGAGACAAGAAGATCATGAGTTCAAGACCAGCCTTGGTTACACAGGAAGTTTGAAGCTAGCCTGGGCTACATGAAACCCTATCTCAAGAAACAAAACAAACATTGCACACTTAATGGTAGCTATGCTGATAACAATGAGATGTATGGTAGGAAAATAGATTTCATTTTGTCCTTAGATTATAATTGAGTATTCTGTCTTCCTTATGTTTTTGGCTAGCCTTGGTGAATCCCTTTTATTTGACAGACAAGATATTCAGAAAGTGACTACAGCTAGTAATGAGACACTGTCTCAAAACAACAACATCAAACAAAAACTACCCAATCATCCAACCAATAAACAAAGACAAAACAGCCAAAAACAAAAGCAAGGAGTGGGGACTAAGTATAGGAGAGGTGGCTCAGTGATTAGGAGTGGTGTTTACAGTGCTTCCAGTGGATCAAAGTTCAGATCTCATCACTCACATCAGGTACCTCACAGACATCTGTAACTCCAGCTCCAAGGACCCAGCTCCCCACTTCTGACTTCTGTGGGCACCTGCACACACATGTGCACATACACACACAAAAATGAAAATAAAATGAATGTTTTAAAAAGGAGTCAGAAAGCAATCAAATGGTGCTCTTTTTCTCTTACTTTAGATTGTTGTATCTTTATATAAATTAGAATAAAATAGTCACAGTCTATTTCTTCTCTGAAAATTTGGTAAAAGCTACACTTCATTTCCTCAGATTCTGTGTCCATAGGTAGCATTTCTTCCTGTATACCCTTGCCCACAGTGTGCCCTAAATGGACCTTTCCCAAAGGTTTTCTGTACTTCAGGTTGAATATTTTCTTTTTTAAAAAATATTTTATATATTATTTTTATTTTATGTGTATGAGTATATCGTCTGCATGTATGTGAGTGCACCCATATTGTGCAATGTCACGGATGTCAGAAGAGGGCTTCGGATTCCCCTGGAACTGGAGTTAAGGACGGTTTGTAGCCACCGTGTGGGTGCTAGGAATCAAACCTGGGTCCTCTGCAAGAGCAGTTAGTGCTCTTAACCACTGAGCCATCTCTCCAGCCCCAGGTTGAATATTTTCATTCCTTATGTTGCCTTGTTTATATGTTGAACCAGAGGCTTTGCTTTCATTTTTATTAAGTTATCTGGTCATGTCTTTGGCCATTTCCAGGAACTTCTTTGACTCAGGGGGCTATAGTGTAGTCTTAATCATGTTTTTTCTTTTAAAAATATTTTATTATTTTTATTTTATATATATGAGTGTATTACCTGCATGTATGTAAGAGCACCCATGTTGTGCAATCCCTGCAGAGATCAGAAGAGGGTGTCAGATCCCCTGGAACTGGAGTTACAGGTGGTTGTTAGAAGCCATGTGGGTGCTAGGAATTTAACCCGGATCCTCTGCAGGAGTAGCCAGTACTCTTAACCACTGAGCCATCTCTCCAGTCCCCGTATTTTTTTCTTTTCCTCCTTTTATTTTGGTATGTTTATTATTTTGTGGTTTTTCTTTCAGATTCTCTCCAGAAACAGCCTCCAGAAGAGGATTAAGTACAGCAGAAATTAATGCTGTGGAAGCAATTCATAGAGCTGTGGAATTTAATCCTCATGTTCCAAAAGTGAGAATTTTTATGATGAAAATAGTTTTATTTAAGTGTATCAAATTAATGACAGTAAGCTAAAGTTTAGCTTGCTGTAATTTGTGTCAGAATTGTTTTAGTCTGCTCTATTTACTATGTACCTTAGAGAGGGTATAAAAGGTATTTTTAGAGGGGCTGGAGAAATGACTTAGTAGTTAAGAGCACTGACTGTTCTTGCAGAGGACCTGGGTTCGATTCCTAGTACTCGCTTGTGGCTAACAACTGTCCATAACTCCAGCTCCAGATCCAACACCTTCTTCTGACGTCCATGAGCACTGCACAACACAGGTGCTTATATACACATGCTTATATACACATACACAGGTACACTTATACACATATAGGCAATACACTCATACACATAAAATTAAATTTTTTTAAAGGCATTTGGAAACATGGTTAGGGGGCTGGGGATATTGCTGTGCTGGTAGAGGGCTTGTATAGCATGCACAAAGCCCTGGCTTCAATCCATAGCTCTGAATAAACTAAGCATGGTGGTTCACACCTGTAATCCCAACACTTGCGGGTAGGCTGTTGGGGCAAGAGGATCACAGGTTCAAAGTCATTCTTCTACTACATGTGGAATACATGAAACCCTGTTTCCAAAAAATAAGTAAATAGATAAAAAAGAAACATGGCCAGGAGCAGTTAGCTCCATGGGCTTTGTTATTGCTAACAAAATAAAATGTGAATTGTCTTCTCTTGTTCCCCCTCCCTCAGTGTTTGTGATTGAACTCAGTGCCTTAGACATGCTAGGCAAGCACTCTCATCCTTCATCACTGAGCTACATTCCAGCCCTACTTGGCTTTTCTTTCTACTTTTTTTTTTCACGTGTGTGAGTGTATTACCTGCATGTATGTAAGTGCACCATTGTGCAATACCCATGGAGGACAAAGAGGGTGTCAGATCCCCTGGAACTGGAATTATGGATGATTGTTAGCTGCCATGTGGGTGCTGGCATTCAAACCAGGGTCTTCTGTAAGAACAACCAGTACTCTTAACCACTGAGTCATCTCTCCACCCTGGCTGTTCCTTTATTGTAGTTATATAGAAGAAATAATCAAATTACTTGATTGCTATAAAAGATCATTTATATTTCAGATAATAAAATTTCCTGTTATTGCAAAAGGTTTTAATAGACTCATGCCTGGGTTTTGAACTAGGATTGAGCAAACAAAAACTGATAGTAAATCAGTTAATCAATGATAGGAAGCAGATGGAGAATCCCTAGAAAAACTGCTGAGTTGATACTCAGACTCAGCTTGCTTCATTTATCTTTACATTGTACATCTTACATCTATACAAATTTTTGGCTAATCTATGTATTAAATAATATCAAAATACCAAAACACCCAAAAAAAGATTAAAATTTGTGTTTTATAATTTCCCATCTTAAGAACTACAGGCTATTCAAGAATAGATTTTCTTACTACAATGTGAAATTATAGCTATTGATTCAGTATAATTTATGTTAATGGAAGTTGGAGGTTAGTAAACAGTAAAGACAATAGTATCTAGGGGCTGGTAAGATGGCTTAGTGGGTAAAGTGCTTACTACTAAGCCTAATGATCTAAGTTTGATCCCCAGAGCCCACATGGTAGAAGGAGAAAACCAACTCCTGCAAGTTGTTTTCTGAGCTCAGCATGCAGGATGTGGGGTGTGTGTGGAGCACACACATAGTAAATAAAGTGATAAAGAAAGCATTGACTTCTAAAAGTTAATCTTGAAGTTGTAAACCTTTGAGAATAAGTAAAGATATGTTCAAGTAAATTAATGTAGTTGGACTTGATGGCTCATATGCCTGTAATCCCAGCACTGGAGAGGCTAAGGCAGGAAGATCAAGAGTTTGAGATTAGCCAGCACTACATATTGAGACTCTGTCTCAGAAAGAATGACTAGCATCTAGGGCTGAGTGGTAGATTTTTCCCAAGCCTGTTTGAGCCCCTGGATTTGATCCCAGGACTATATAAAACCGAAAAAAAGAACCATCCCTTAAATCTAAGAATGAGCTTCAATAACTGTTTATAAACATTCTCTCATTAAGTGACACTGGTCCCATAAAGTTAAATTTTTATGACAAATTATAATTGCACATGCAGCAAAGTATGTAAGGCAAAACATGCACTTTAATGACTTAATATAAAGCAAACACTGGGGAATTGCCACTGAGGTCAAAAGACAGAATAGTGTCAGCTCCTTGAAGCCTACCAGACTTCCCTTTCCCAGGTATAATTTCTTCCTTCCCGTGTAGAGGTAACTACAATTTTAACGTCAGTTAATGCTCACTTCCTCCTTTTTTTATATTTTGTTTTATATTTTTCTTTTATTGCTGATTTTATAGATGAATTAAAGAGTAGACTTTTTTAAAATTTTGTAGACTAATTTGCATAAAACAATTATGTGTACCTCAAATGATTAGTAGAATTTGCCAGTAAAGCCATCTGATTCTGGAGTTTTCTTTATAAGAAGCTGTAAACTATAAATTCATTTCTTTGTCTAATAATTATAAATTACTAATTTATAATTAAAAATACAATTTTTTTCTCATTCAGGGTCTCATTTTAGCCCAAGCTAACCTCAAACTCATTACGTAGTTGAAAATGGCCTTGAACTCCCAATCCTCCTGTTTCTGTCTCCCAAGTGCTGGGATTACAGGCCTGCATCACCATGTGCTTATTATGTATTTTTTCTTTTGCACCAGATTTTTCTTGTTTTATTTTCTTTTATGGTTAGTTTTCTTTGTCTATGTGCCAGATATTCTGTTTGGAAAGTTGTAAAATTAGGTTGAAACTTTGGATACCATTCATTGTATTCCTCCAGATAATATCTATTTCACTCTGAGATGACTGGAAGAAGCCCTTGCAAACAAGGATCACTTTAATCACTTTAAGGGATTAATATTTTCTGGACCACCCAGATGACTTAAAACTGGGTTCCAGTCAGTGAAAGTTGTAGTTTACGTCTGGTTCATCCCTAGTATGCAGCCATTCAGGATCCCCCTTTAATCCTTGGTTTTAGTAGTGCTCTACTGACAAGCACTGCCACCGCCCCCCTCAGCTTTATGAAACTGACCAAAAGGTTGAATGATCTCTTATCCATCTCATCTACAATTGGAAGATCCCCAATTAAAGAACACCAATTGTGGTGTAGTTCTTTACCTTTCTGTCTTGAGACTGTGGTCTGGTAGTTCTTCATGCTTTGTTAATCCTGTGCATTCAATTAGATTTTAAGAATATTTTTTCTGTTTTCTTAGTTGTCTGGGAGGATTGATCGGAATAACCTAGTCTCCTATACTGGAAACAAAAGTCTGGGAATACTTTTAAAAAAATATTTATTATTTTTATTTATGTGTGTGAATGTATTAACCTGCATGTATGTACGTACACTCGTGTTATGTAATACCCATAGAGATCAGAAGAGGGTGTCAGATCCCCTGGAACTGGAGATAACTGCAGTTATTAGTCACCATGTGGGTGCTGGGAACTGAACCCGGGTCCTCTACAAGAGCAGCTGCTGAGCCATCTCTCCAGCCCCAAGTCTGGGAATACTGATAAATAAAATCCTCTGTTCCCTTGCGGCTCTTCTCTTCTACAACACACTGCCGGGGTCTGAATACTAGCTCTTCTACTTCCTAGCTGTCTGACTTTGGATAAATTCTTTAATGTCTATGCACTTAAGTTTCTCTGTGTGTGTGTGTGTGTGTGTGTGTGTGTGTGTTTGTGTTTTGAGACCCAGTCTCATATAGCACAGACTGGCCTAGAACTCACTATATGGCCTTAAAGTCCTGTTCTGCCTTGCCTCTGTTTCCCAAGTGCTGGTTAATAGACATGCACCATGATGCCTGGTGTGTTTCCTCTTGTGTAAAGTGAAGATGATATTCCCTA